GAAAGCTAAATATATACGCCATATGTGAAAGAATTCCACAGCCTGCACGTTCTAATTCGTGCTTAGATTTTCCCGAAGTTGGCCACTCTGCAGGAAGCCATCTTGGGAGGTACTTTCGTTTCCCGCAGAGGGAGTGCTGTCGGCCGGACACTAACATAACCTAAAAGTAGGTGCCTTTTACTTCAAAACCTTGATTTCACACAGTTTCTTTATTGGTGTGAAGGTTGATCTATAACACTAAGGGAGGAATGTGGACTGAGGATGTATGATAACAGTGGCTGAGAATATTTGGACAGAAACAGAATGAATGCTAGGCTGGGAAAAGTTACACAAGAGATGGGCAGGGCATCTAGCCCCATTTAAGACAAGGAGTCTGGTAGGCAAACCAAATGGAAAGAGACAACCAGAAGATCTAGACTGGATTCATCTGGCTCAAGATACCAACCAGTGGCACACCCTTGCAAACATGGTAATCAACCTTCAGGTTCTATAAAATGTTTGGAATTTCTTGAGTGATTGGGCAAATGTTGGCTTCTGAGGAAGGACTGGGCTTTTTGGAAGAGCAGAGCTATATGACATGTCCAAAGATGCTGCCAACACATATGTAAAAGTGCCTAATGGAGAAGTCCAGGAAGATGTTAAGGAGAAGTATAAGGAAATTCTTTATTGATGTATTTGGATTTAGAAAAGACAACTATGATAGCCGAAGAACATTTTTTTACAACATTACTGCCTCTGTAAATGAAGATGATTAATAAAAACATGAAAATGTTTACTGCATTTCACAAAAGTCAATGAAGCAGCTCTCCATTGTCCAATGTTCCTGTAACGTATCAGACTACAAATGTAACAGTGAATTAAGTGGCACTCATGGTTAGGGTCGATATTGCAGTTATTATACAAAAGCTGTTCCTTTTAACGTTAATCCTCCCCCCCCTCAGGGTGCTCTGTTCTCTCGAAATGTCAGTGTTTACTCCAGTAAACCACCTTACATGGCTGGTAGCCCTAGAAGAAATCATTACATTCAACGTTGGACGTAACATAAAATCATGAAAATATGTAAAGTAAAGTAAAGTTTGTCCCACTATACGCAATGTAGGCGTTTGGGGTGAGTGGAGGTATAGCTCCTCTCTTCCTTGACCTCGGCACTAGATGGGGGTGAGTGGTCAGCATCACGCCCCGGCCGGCTTTACCCCCGGGAAAGGACCCCGGTTCCCATTGTAGAGGAGGCTGGGTGGGCCCCAGAGCCGGTCTGGACGCAGAGGCTAGAGGAAAAATCCTCTGCCCCCGTTGGAGATCGAACCCCGGTCGTCCAGCCCGTAGCTAGTCACTATACTGACTGAGCTATACCTAATTTATATTTGTGTTATCTTTTCAATCATCTTAACTTTTAAAATTGTTTTCCTGTCATATCGTAGCATAGCAATTCAGATAAAAGATTTTGCGAAATAATGTTGACATCTATCACCACAAAAGCAAAAGCTAAACCCACACCACACTGGAAACTTCAAATAATAGGTCTTCTGAATTTGAATGGCTTTGAAGACAATTTGTTGTTCACAAATGCTCTGCACATTAAATTGTTAACAAGTAATAGTTCTAAAGTACACCTTGTATTGCAACTTACCTCACGCTTATCTCATTGTTACTTTCATGTGGGTATTGCAGAGACATTCTCTTCCGCCATTCACTGGAGTATAGGATGAAAGCATTTGGTGGTCTACGGACTCTCTGATTCCTCACAACAGCAAGAGGACACTTTGGTGTTTCTTTTCCATGTTCTAAATTTCTCTTCTGTTGGTGATGTTTCTTCGGCTCAACTTGTATTCTGTGCTGTTGGTAATCCTGGTGCATGTTGTCCTCTTTATTTTCTGAAAGAATAGTGGAATCCATAAATAACACAGTTTTAAAACTATAAGATTCAGAATATGATCAGCAGTATAAAAAACATGGCTGTTTCCAAACTTTTTTCTTCTCTGAAGAATTACAAACATCTTATGCAACTATAATGTATATTTTACAGGATCAAAGTGTTTCTCAGGCAGTAAATTGAACACAAATTGCCAAGTAGACATTCACTGATGCAAGAATATTATTAGCAGAAACTGAGGAGATAAATGGAGTACAAAGTTTGACTCATGCTGTCATTTTATGACTTGAAAACCAATGGACTGATTTTAATCAACTTTTGTACTGAAGGCACAAATTTGTTGAAGAATCCAAAATGTGTTAAAGATGAGCCCGAAATTATAAAATATTTTGAATAATTGCTATTTATATGACAGCAAAGTTAAAATCTGAAAATGATACCAGAGGAATCACGCCAAAGTCATTACTCACTTCAAGTTACTTTTTTGGGAAAAGAGAGATCTTACCTTTGTCATCTAAGATGCAATTCACAAACGCATCTAATTCCTCTTTTAGTGTTGTCTCTGCAACACAAAAACAGAACAGAGTCAAGTATTATATTCAGCCCACATTATTTTGTTGTATCTAAAAGAATTACAGAGTTTTGTGAAATCTCAAGGCAACACCATAACAACTTGGCATCAAATAAAGTGAGAATTATTAAATATGTATCACAAGTTGCAGGTAAATACACTACATATAATGAAACTAATGAAAATGGTAATCCATTAATTAAGTTTTTCAGAATAAATAACTTAAAGGTAGAGTAATAAAGGATCTCAACAAGATTTTTATATTTCAGTATTTTTCTGAATTATCTGATAAGTTGAATATTTCCGTCTTCTGGGTTGTTGCGCTGTGTAGTCTGGTCGATGTTAACCAACGTTTCAGAGTTCATACTGCCTCCGTCATCTGAAACGTTGATTAACATCGACCAGACTACTCAGCGCAACAACCCAGAAGACGGAAATCTTCATACTCACGGCTGTGAGAACCTCAACTCATACATATCTGATAAGTTATGTCCAAAAGCAACTAACATATTAGTTTTGCTGTATTTGATGCAAGTAATAGCCCCCCAGCAACAGGAATAGCTAATATTTTCCACCCATGCATCATGTTTTAGTTTCTTGGAAGAAATTTGACCTACGAGATAAATGAAATTTTACGTAATAACTTACGAATCAACTTTCTGTCAGAGTCTTGTGTATATAGGATGAGAAAACAGTCTTGAGTATTATTGTAGCTGGAAGTATAATAGGCTTACTTTCCCACGGTCTGTTTTATGAAATATCTGCATAGGGGTCTGAAAATGACAGCAGAGGAAACATGCCAAAATCGTTACTCACTTCAAGTTACTTTCTTGGGAGGAGAGAGGTCTTACCTTTTTCATCTAAGATGCAGTTTATATATGCATCCAACTCCTCTGTCCTAGTTGGTTCTGGAAAAACAAACAGAATAGAGTCAAGGATTAAATTCAGCCTACATTCTTTTTTCTGTATCTAAAAAAGACAGTTTAGTAAATTCACTAGGCAAAACCACAACAACTGGGTATCAAATTAACTGAGAATCATTAAATTTTTACTGTTAGTTGCAGGTAAATACACTGTATATAATTAAACTAGTGGAAATGGTTATCCATAAATGGTACTTTTATTATACTTATGCAATATCAACTCATTTTAATTTGAGGTCACATTATGGAGGTAAGAGCCCCAAAACTATTCTGGGAATTGGCTTATGTATATAGGATGAAAACAAGTCTTCTATATAATTGTAGCTCTCTGTAAAATAAGCTTACTTACACATGGTCTGTTTTATGAAATATTTGCATTGGAGTGACTGATTTTGAGGAAATAAATGGTAGTAAGCACACAGAATGGTGCAGAATCCAAGACACAATGGTCATCCCAAGTCATAAAGTTGTATCAAGGCGGAAGGTGGTCACTTTGAATATTTAAGTAAATAAATAATTTATTTATGTATGTGCTTGTAAAGATGTTTGTAAGGACAGACATGAAAATTCATTACTTTAAATAAATTCTAAAAGGAAACATTGATATGCATTTTCATCTCAACATCTTGTGAGTGCAACTGCAATGGACATTTCCACTGATGTCTACGAGATTTACAACATATTTTATGCACATGCCTTGCATAAATGAAACCATTTTAATGCAGCCTCCTTTTGAGTAATTCTGTCGTATTCTTTACAGTATTATTAGGTCTTCTGGGAAAAGAGACCAAATTTGGGAGATGTTTTAATAATTATCATTATTGGCTCAATCTAACAATAACACTTTAGGCCTGAAAAATAAAATAATACGTAGGCTATATTAGGAAGAGGCCATACGCAAGTTTACTTTATTGTAAAATTGCCTTCAAGCTTGACCAACCACTGACAATGTAAAACTGTTTTGTGATGACTTTGTTTTTGCAACGAACTCGGAACACCTGAACGGATTATGATTAAATTTGTTTTTAGGGATATTTCAAACTTTTCTGCGCATTCAAATTCTTTTTTAAAAAATTGGCAGTATCTTACAGGAACAAAATTATTTCTTATGCAATATGTTGAACACAAATTGCCAAGTAGACATTCAATGATGCAAAAATGTTATTAGCAGAAGCTGTAGAGATAAATGGAGTACAAGGTTGACTCATGCTGTCATTTTATGACTTGAAAACTAATGGACTGATTTTGATGAATTTTTGTACTGAAGGCACAAATTTGTCAAATAATCCAAGATGTCCTAAAGATGAGCCCAAATAATAACACATTTTGAATAATTGCTGTTTCGAAGACAGCAAAGTTAAAATCTGGAAATGACAGCAGAGGAAACACATCAAAATCTTTACTCAATTCAAGTTACTTTTTTGGGAGGAGAGAGGTCTTACCTTTGTCGAACAGGATGCCATTGATGAACATATCAAACTCCTCCATGTTTATACTTGGTAACTATGAACACAGAAACAGAACAATCAAGGATTAAATTCAGCCAACATTATTTTCTGTATCTAAAAAAATGACAGTTTAGTGAATTCACTAGGCAACACCATAACTACTTGGGATCAAATTAAATGAGAATTATTAAATTTGTACCACAAGTTGCAGGTAAATACACTATACATAATGAAACTGGTTAATCCATTAGTTGAGTTTGCCTAAATGAATAATTTAATTGTAGTGGTAGAGGGGTTTACTGATGTGCACTTTGACCCTTTAGAAGCATCATGACCAAATACTTGTGATGAGGCAAACAGTGGGAAAATGCTTTGAATATAACACAGATGTGCCTGTGTTATTTATTGATCTCAGGCAAGCTTTTCACAGCATATATAGAATTGAATTATTTATTTATTTAGGATCTTATGCTATAGCTGAAAAAATAATAAGGAACTGAAGGTAAATGAAATATTGTTAGAAATCCAAAAAAATTTGTGCTAATGTTGATGATATTTTCTTGGTTGCAAGAAATGTTCCAGCATTAAAAGAATTATTATCTGCACTGGCAACTGAGGGAAGAAAAATGGTCTTGAAATTAATGAAGTTAAATCTGAATACATGAAAATGTCCTCATTACAAGCAAGAACATACCCTCAAAACTTAGAATTTATTTTACAGGCCTACAATGTGCTTTAATTTAATGCTAAAATACTTTTATTAACATTATATTGCATTAATTTTAATCTATATTAATGTTGGATATGAATACCTTATATTTGGTTCTACGTATTTTATGTCGGAATACATTTCACACGTTTTCAGTTAATATTAGATGCCTCTTTAAATTGGAATTATTGTGATGGTAAAATTTTTAAACAGTTGCATCACCTTTAATGTTTCGTACTTGCAAATAACACGAAACCTTCCATTTTTCTGCAATTAGTTTATTATCCATTTATAACTGAATGATTAATGTTACCGTAATAAGGGATATTGTGCTTAAAATTACAAGTATTTTTCAGAAAATGAAAGAGTACTCACAGGTCGTGCTAAAAAGATTTCTCGTACGATGGCCGTTAAATTCTCTTGTGACGTCACACCAATCACAGCGATACCAAAGCATCACGTGAGTGCTATGTCCAATGAATGCGTATTTGCATAAAAAACTATTTAAAATATTCTCGGTAATTAATTTATATAAAATATAATTTAAATTGATATTATATGTGAACTTACATTAGAATTTTTGTGATGATAAGATTTAGAACAACAGTTACGTTATCTGCAATGTACGAAAAAGATCTTTCAATTTTGACGTCACAGCAATCACAGCGATACTGAAGCATTTGCGTGAAGCTGTGTACGATAGATGTCTGAACACTCGTAGAAATACGATTTAAACCAGTCTCGATGGTTAATTTATAGGTAATAATAGATTTAATTTATATAATACACTTGCGCTCCATATGACAGTCTATTAAAATGTTGACCCGAAATTGTTAATGGTTGTTTCCAATCTCGTGTGAAAGAGAATTACATATCTCCAGAGAGAAACTTTCATATGTTCATCAGGGTATTTATACATATTGTCATTGCATGCAAACGTGATCAGATGGTGTAGCAGGTAAGCTACTAACTGGCGTTATCTGCAATGTACGAAAAATATCTTTCAATTTTGACGTCACAGCAATCACAGCGATACTGAAGCATTTAAGTGAAGCTGTGTCCGATAGATGTCTAAACACTCGTAGAAATACGATTTAAACCAGTCTCGATGGTTAATTTATAGGTAATAATAGATTTAATTTATATAATACACTTGCGCTCCATATGACAGTCTATTAAAATGTTGACCCGAAATTGTTAATGGTTGTTTCCAATCTCGTGTGAAAGAGAATTACATATCTCCAGAGAGAAACTTTCATATGTTCATCAGGGTATTTATACATATTGTCATTGCATGCAAACGTGATCAGATGGTGTAGCAGGTAAGCTACTAACTGATAAGCCACCTCCAAGCAAACGATAAATCTTGAATGGAATGGAGAAGAGAAAACATCACAAATTGCTACAATTTTAGTGGGCTGGTGGCACACTCCTAGTCAGACCCTTTCCATTTCACATTTATCCCGCAACAAAAAATGGTGTATGTTAATGTCTTGCTGCTCAAATATTCCTTAAGAAGTATACTTACAATTACTGTTCCCCACTGCTTCCATCATCAACTACGTTGACATGGTTAGGATTCCTGTCCCATGAGTGGTCTTCCTCTGTGCCATCAACTTCTTAAAACTCTTTTTCAAGTTATGTAAGTAACAATGATGATGGTTTCTCATCATCATTATTTTGCTGTACTGCTGTAGTTTCAAAAATCTGTAAATAACTGTTATGTGTTTGTATTTATATTAGTACTAGAAAGAAGTGTTGGGGTATTTGAGAAAATGTGGTAATGTTAGGATACACATTTACATGTACAGATTGTGGTCTTCTGTATTATGACACTATGCAGTCACGTTGCCATTGCTTTTTAGTAATTCCATTGAAACGGTGGTAACCACCTATAATACTACATGTTGTAGTCCAGAAGGCCACCATCCGATCTCACATTGCTGTGAAAACCTCACATATCTTATAGCAGACATGTAGATCAACAAAAGGAATGAGGACCCGAAGTATAATGGAAGTTTAGAGTTCTGAAATGCTGATATGTTGTCTGCATGTTACAGGATGGCTTGCCACAGGCCCTGTCATTGTCATCTTGTCTATCATGACTCATGTATTCGGTGTTGCGTTAGCAGTTGAAGCAAATGCGTGCTCTGGGTGTGTCACACGCCAGACAGGGCAAATGACTGTGGCTAAACTGCTGAGTGACTGAGGTATGTAACATTAATTTAGGACAGTCTTTTCTTTCATCTGCATTAAATTACTTTTTTTTTATTTGTGTAATCCTATAAGAACCATTTTTCTTGTGAATTCACTTGGCTGTTAAATGGTTTGAATACAAAACATAAAATCTAATAAAAGTCTGAAGGTTGTTGGCGATAGTGCACTTTGTGTAGTATCTGTTTCATAAAATAATAAAACTGTTTTATAAGCTGAATTTTGCTTCCATCTTCCTGTAAAGAAGGAGAAGGTAGAATTCCCATCTAATTAGTCTGGACTAGGTCTGAGGCTAGCTCAACCAAGGGGCCAACAGGTAGGATTTCTGCCCTTTTCCGCTTTTGTACCTGAAGACAGAAGCAGAGTCCAGATTTCAAAATGTTGTAGTTTTATTACTTCATAATTTAATGATGGACAAAGTGCAAAATAATAATTTTACGTATTATAATGCATCGTCATCAGAAATCTATACAGTCTGTTTAGATTTTGTTTTGTATTCAGACGTTTGTATAAGAGTGTGGATTCACAAGGAAAATGGTTCTTGCAGGGTTACATTAACAGAAAAACTGATAACACAGTTTTAATCATGCAATTGAATGGCATGGTATAATAAATTCTTCTCAGGCTACCAGCCATGTAAGGTAATGAAGAAGACTCGGCGTTTCAAGGACGATCTATGTCCTCATCCTCAGGGTACACTTATTTTCCAAACATTGGTGTCTTATTCATTAAACCAACTTACACTGGTAGCCCAAGGAGTTTATTATGCTTAGTTGCTATGAAAGCTTCAGAACATACAAGTGGCATGGTGTTTGTGCATAATGTCATACAAATTAGAAGGACAGTAAAAAAATTCTCATTTGTCCTCCTTACCAGCATCCTGATCACAATGTAACTTCTTCTATCACTCATGTTCTTGGCATACTCTGTTCATGTGTTATGTTTCGGGGTAACAGCTGTAAACTGGAAAGCCTTGGAGTTTATTGATGCTATGGAATGGAGCCAAGATGAGAAGGTTGGCATGCCTTGTGGGTAGATTGTTGACATACAAATAGTGGCAGTGCCAATGGGAGCTAGTGGAACATGACCTCTGCTGATTGCATTCTTTGCCTCACGAATATAAAGTTCACATTTACTTTGTAAGTTTCAGATCAAGAACTGCAGGGTCTTTGATTATGTTAAGCCATTAAAGGTAATCCCAAATTTGTACTGTTTAATTTTCTAAAATAGGTACTAACAATATGGTGGATGCTCAGAATAGTAAGCTGGTACCCACTCCAGCACTACTGAATGTACGGCCCTGAAATGATAGCAGTAGATAATAAAATATGCAACTTTTGTTAAGGTGTGTGAAATGTGAGGATCTCATGAAGATGGCAATATTGTCCTTTTGAGCTTTTAAGCCATGAGGACTCGTAGATAGACACCTTTAGGTCCACCTGGGATCTCAACCCAGAAGAACATCATCATTGTTTTGTTCAGGTAATTTTTCTGTGGAATGTGAAGCAACAACATGACAGTTTTATAAATATTGTCTTCAGATTTAAGTTTGTGATAACTAATGAGCCTTTATAGCTTGACATGTGAAATTCTGTACAGAGATTGATTTTAAATGTACCTAAAAATCTCATGAAATACTTTGTAAGTCAACAGTTACAGACATGGTGTGAATATAAAACTTTGAGGTTATGTTTGACGAATTTCACATAGTGTGTGTATGACATACTTACAGTTGCATGTGATGATGAAAGCATTTGACCTGAGTTGGTTTTGATCATATGATCATCTCTGCATGACACAAGGCCACCAACTCATGAGCTACATTGCATTATAGGAGATGGTGCACAGGCATAATGATTGCAGCTGAGTATAACTGACAGTTGCAACTGTATTTGCTTGAATTCTCTATTTGCACTGAACTCAGTAATTATCCTTTGGGTTTGAAGTTCATCTAATTAATAATTAAAAATTCAGTTGCTACTGCAAAGAAAACAATCCATAACCAAAGATCTGTTGTTGATGCTGTTTATTTAAATAATTGGTGTGTAATTTGAGAATCATACGAAACCCATAAATATATTCTGTGGTAAAATGCAGAATTATCGAACATTAAAGATGGTGGCACACACAGCTTTAAAAGGTTGTTATCAGAGTAATGACTACAAGACTAAATTGTTAATTGACTTCACTGGAATGCTGTCT